CAATCTAGAAGATCTCCTGTATTGGGAGAAATTTTGCCTTCGTAGAGGACTTTTTGATGAAACCGCAATTGCGTTACATGGAAAGGAAAATTACGAAGACCTCTCACTGTCAGCCTGACGGCAAGGGGACATGTGAACTGTCTACCACTGAAAATATCAGCACTGTGGTCGGTGTGAGCCGGGTGTGGACGACCAGCTATTGCTGAGATTCTTTAACTCATAAAAAGCTCTATCCACTGAGGCACCACGGCTGAAAATAATTTCCCTATATCACATAGAGTTAGGGTACAATATGCATATGGGAGAGATAGATACTTATTAGATGGCCTATAAGATGATCAGACAAGAAAAGACTCACATACGATTAGGCTATAAATCGATGTATCGATTTAACTCATATATCGGCAAGACAGCGTCTTTCATTCAAGGCGATGTATCAGAAATCTGATTTAAGCCGTCGAGTAAAGACAACGAGCGCAAAACGATATAGCGATATAAGACACGCAAGGATATAAGCATATATGGCAACGTTACATTTAAAAAGTAACGAGTAAAAGTACAAGTAATTTTAAAAAATGTAACGAGTAAAAAGTAAAAAGTTCTTATTTTAAAAAGTAACGAGTAAAAAGTACAAGTAAAAGTACAAGTACAAAACAAAAAAAGTAACGATTTAAAAGTACATTTCTAGGAAATTGAAAATTTAAAGTAACCTAAATTTTATTGAATAATATTCTTATGTTCTGTAATGTTTTTGCAAAATTGTTGTTATTTATTTAATTATTTTTAATTTTGAAAGTTATGGATTTAAATTTACTTTTAAATTCGAAAGAATATTATAATATAATTTTATAATATAATCGTATAATATAACTTTAAAATCAAATATAGTTTTAATTTCAAACTTTTTATGGATTTGCACGAAAAAGAAATTTTATCTATTGATTTTAATTTTTAGTTTATTATTTTTATTTATTTAAATTACCATTGATTTAAAATTGTTT